TTTTTTTTTTTTTTTTTAAAATTTTTTTTTTTTTTTTTTTTTTTTTTTTATAGTGCTGTCATTACTGACATGTCAAGTATTTTATTACATTTTTCCAAAAAAAAATCACAATGGAAAATAAAAGCAGAATGATGGTTTGAGGAGCAGAAATGTATTTAAATTTTTAGATTATTAAATTAAAAGCATATAAATATTATTTTTTTCATGATGGAAATGGAAAGCAGAGTGATAGTTTGACGAGCAGATGCATTTTAATTTTTAAATCTTTATTTGTCTTTATTTGGTATCATTACCAAACTGGTTAGTATTCAAACATTTTTAATTAAAGAAGAAACAATGCATTTACTTGTATTAATTCAAAACAAATGTACAGCAGACGTGTTGTATTAGCATGCAAATCCAAATTTTTTGGTCATAAGATCAGATCTTTATTCCAGGACATGTGATAAATGTTTTAAACTTAGATGGTGTACAGAAGTTTTTCAAGCTTTGAAGAAGTCAAAAGCGCCTCTATTTGAAGAGTCACTCATATGTCACATACAGTATATAATAATGTAAATGATGCTTCCTCTCCTAATGCAATCTTCCTGATCTGCAGACTGGCTCATCCTGACGGGAGTCTGGCCGATCTGACGATGAAGAGCACGTCTCCAGAGCCACTGCTGAAGGAGGAGAATGAGAAAGAGTCCATGAACGAGGAGCTGGTTGTGGACTGTGTAGACGAGGAGAAGAAGAAAGAGTCTCTGTCCATCCATTCAGCTCATCTGTCCAGTCAGGAGGACATTCAGCAGTTCAGCGCCGCCACAGATCCTGAACTGCCCTCAGAACAGAGCTCAGGTACTGCAGTCCAGTCTTAGTCTGGTATTGGGTAGTTTCGTTTATTCGTTCCAGCACAGTATATCTTTTCTATACTTATGTATGGTTTTACATGGTCCTGTATGGATTTTATCCTGCTGTAGTCTAGTGTAGTTTACATTTATATATCAGTTTTACACATTTCTTATTTTCTTTTATTCTGTATACAGTAGTTCTAATATGTATGTGGGTCAAAGACATTAAGATGTCTGCATCAAAAGAAATTTACAAAAGTGATTTTATGTCCATAGAAAGCAGATTAAATGTAAGTAAAGTGTCCACTTTATATGTTTTTGAAATCTTGAAATTTGGTTGAAATAATGTTACATTGTCATTCAGTGTAACACAATATTTATGTAAAAATTCAAACAGCATGCTTATTCTGACGTGTACATATTACAATATATAAAAGAATAAGGATGCATATTACATTTTATTGTGTTTTAAATGAGTAAAACAATTCTTACTGACAAATGGGTAGAACCTAGGATAGTGGTAAATTTAAAAAATGTAGAATTGCAACTAATTAGTATTTGGGGTGAAAGTAATTAGTCTTTTAATTTGTCACAAATTGATTTTTGTTGTAAATATGCCTGACAAGATTGTTACACTGAATGACATTTTAGTGGGTCTCTTCTGTAAATCAGGGGAAAATGTATGATATTTATTTTTTGCTCAGAAAAACAAAAACAAAATTACAATTAAATTAAAAAGAAAACTTTTTCATTTTTTGGGGAGAAAAACAACAACAATTTAAAGCAGTGTTACACTTATTGTTTTTATGCTTAAACCCTTTTTCGTCTTTGACCCATGCATATACGTATATTTATATGTTTATTTACTTAATGATTTCAGGCTCCTATGAAAATAACATTGGACACTTTAAAACATTTTTAAAATTAAGACAATCAATAATGGACTAATAACCCTTTCATTGCCATAAAAGTGAAATGACTGAACCTCATTTCAAAGAAAAAATCTTACTTAGCGGCATATAGGAGTGTGCATATACAGTATATGTACTGTATATATATTTTAAATATACATTTTTGTGTGTGTGTGTTTTACACCAAGCATATACAATATACAATATAAAACATTGTTAATCCAGTAAAGAGAGCATTACATTCAATTGATTTCAAATCCTCTGAAGCATGAAACTATTGGATAGTTCAGCAGTTCCCATTTTTCTTCATTTTTTAAATGCATTTATATGTGTCTGTTTAACGTTAAAGTACTTAGTGACTTTACTGCATTTTGTCTTCAGATACAGTCTGTTTAGTATTTTGGTCTTAGATTGTGTCTCTTGTGTTCATAACATGTAAACCAAAGAAATCAAGCTTCAGGTGTCAGATCTCTCCTCACTTCTGTTTCAGACCTTAAGAATAAATGGCATTTGGTGGTGGACCGGCTCACGGTCCTGTTCCTCAAGTTCCTGGAGTACTTCCATAAGCTGAAGCTCTTCATCTGGTGGCTGCTGGAGATGCACATCATCAAGATCGTGTCCACTTACATCATCCTGCTGTCTGTCAAAGAGGTAGAAGCTCACACTTGAGGTTATGATACAGTAATCTGAAGGTGTTTCTGTTTCTCACGTGTGTCTTTTGCAGGTCTCGCTCCTGAACTATGTGTTTTTGATCTCATGGGCGTTTGCGCTGCCGTATAAGCAGTTTCGAGTTCTCGCTTCCAGCGTTTGCACCATGTGGACGTGTGTCATCATCATCTGCAAGTTGTTTTATCAGCTAGAGACCATCGAACCCAGCAACTACTCAAGTATTTGTACTATGGTGGGTTTTTTTACTCATCAAATGAGTTTGTCCTTATTCAGATGGGATTCGTTTACATTTAATGAAAAACGCTTGTCATTTCAAGCCCATCCATATCTAGTTCGGCTGTAGCAGAAGAGCAGATTTGCTGGTTCTTGTGTTTAATCATGTGATTGTGGTCTCTGTAGCCATCCAACTACACAGAAGAGCAAATTATGGACATGAATCATTCTCTACTGTACCGGAAGCCCGTGGATCCTGCAAACTGGGTCGGCCTGGAGAAGTTTGAAGAACCTGTACTGCCCAACCTGAGGGTGAGGAGATATGATCAATATTTTCTGGGAAATATGAGTTTTTTTAATAATGTATGGCACCAAACTAGCCTCTACTGAGTGCCAATTTCATGTTTTATGCTAAATGTGCAACCTATTATTATTATGCCTACAAGTATACCTATTATGCCCTATTATAATATTTAATACAGTCTAAGATTACATAAATTTAAAGCTGCATTCCGGAACTTTTTTTTTTTTTTGGTTAAAAATTATACAAAATCAATTTCTGAGTAAATACATAACCGATCAGTGTTCAAATCTCCTTACCTTAGCCCGATTTACAACGGTAAGCTTGTAATAATGTTTTCCAGTTTGAGTGGTTCGAGTCATTCGTCTTTGCATCATTAATCACCATTGGTAGCACAATTTATTGTAAAACTTTTTTTTTTTTTTTTTCAGTTGATCTGAACAAAACTGTCAGACATGTTACTTGTTCAGATGACATTTTTGGGTGAAACTTCTTATTTTGGACATACTTCCAAGTCGTAGTATCTGTAATTCGGAAGTACAGTGAATATCCACACTGGTGTGTTGACTGAAAGCCCACACATGCAGGTTTCAAACAGAGACAGACTGCAGCTTTAAAGTTTATTGCTAGAAAATCACACAAATCAGGGTTTTAGTTGTAGTTAATCATCCCATATTTTAGTAACAAGTTGGCACAATTGGCAAATACAGTAAATATAAAACAAATCCAAAAGCACATGTATTATTTAATGTATCCTCTTGAGGTGGAGAGACTTTCTTTTCTGAAGATGAAGCATTTCATTGATGGAAGTGATTGACTTTCTGATGTACAGAGCTCGTTTACATTCATCTTCTCGCTCTTCTCTTTCTTTCTCAGAATAACTTGTTGATGTTGGCCATCTTGGCGTTTGAAGTCACCATTTACAGACATCAGGAGTTTTTCCGTCTCAGAAACAAACTCTCTCCTCCTCCCTCTCGGACCATCTTTCATGACATCACCCGGCAACACCTCGACAACAGCATCATCAACTGCGCCAAATACTTCATCAACTACTTCTTCTATAAGTTTGGTTTAGAGGTGCATTTCATTTCTTTCTATCTATCTATCTATCTATCTATCTATCTATCTATCTATCTATCTATCTATCTATCTACATCATAACATCATATCTGTCATTCTATCTATCGTTTTTTCTATCTATTGTTCTATCAATCATTCCATCGTTCTATCTTTGTATCATTCTGTCTATCTATCTATTGTTCTATGTGTTCTGTTTTATCTATCTATCTATATATATATATATCTATCTATCTATCTATCTATCTATCTATCTATCTATCTATCTATCGTTCGTTCTATCGTTCTATCAATCTCTTTATTGTTCAATCGTTCTATCTTGTTCCTGTGTGGTGGCAGGTGTGTTTCCTGTTGGCGATCAATGTGATGGGTCAGCGGATGGATTTCTACTCCATGCTGCATGGTTTGGCTCTGGCTGTGGTGATGTACAGACGCCGGAGGAAAGCCATCGCTGAGATCTGGCCCAAATACTGCTGCTTCCTGGCCTGCATGATCACCTTCCAGTATTTCATCTGCATTGGAATCCCACCGGCTGCTTGTAAAGGTATGTTACTTTATGCCTTTTCACATGTCTTACTTATTAATCACAGATTCCCATTTTCTCAGTGATATTGATTCAGAAACTCAGGGGTGTAAAAAGTACTCAAAAATGTTGAAAGTGACGTGTGGACACACACCCGGAGCAGTGGGCAGCCATTTGTGCTGCAGAGCTCGGGTAGCAATTGCTCAAAGGCACCTCAGTCTTGGGAATTGAAGGTGAATTGAAGGTGTTCATTAACTCCCCCTACCGATATTTCCTGCCGGTACTGAGAATCGAACTTGCAACCTTCTATTAGGCCACAGCTAGCAGCTAAAATGGGTACTGCAGTCCAAATTCAAAATACTGGAGAAAGTCTTTTCTCCTGCTCCCTCCTCCTCAGACCTGACGCTCACTTGGGTTGCCAGGTTGAGGACATGCAACAGGAATGAAGCGCGAGTGACAACAGAAGGTGATGAGTCTTACACTGTAAGCTGATGTGTTAATTTATCCGCCTCTTAATATGCCTCTGGACATAGAGCTTTTTATTTCGATGCTGAGGCTTTTTGGGTCGGGTAGAATTAGCGATCTCTGACCCAGTTCATTTGCTGGCTTCCATGGCTGTGTTTTCCGCCAACTGACAACCCGGGGTTTCAAAATACTAATCTATCTATCTATCGTTCGTTCTATCGTTCTATCAATCTCTTTATTGTTCAATCGTTCTATCTTGTTCCTGTGTGGTGGCAGGTGTGTTTCCTGTTGGCGATCAATGTGATGGGTCAGCGGATGGATTTCTACTCCATGCTGCACGGTTTGGCTCTGGCTGTGGTGATGTACAGACGCCGGAGGAAAGCCATCGCTGAGATCTGGCCCAAATACTGCTGCTTCCTGGCCTGCATGATCACCTTCCAGTATTTCATCTGCATTGGAATCCCACCGGCTGCTTGTAAAGGTATGTTACTTTATGCCTTTTCACATGTCTTACTTATTAATCACAGATTCCCATTTTCTCAGTGATATTGATTCAGAAACTCAGGGGTGTAAAAAGTACTCAAAAATGTTGAAAGTGACGTGTGGACACACACCCGGAGCAGTGGGCAGCCATTTGTGCTGCAGAGCTCGGGTAGCAATTGCTCAAAGGCACCTCAGTCTTGGGAATTGAAGGTGAATTGAAGGTGTTCATTAACTCCCCCTACCGATATTTCCTGCCGGTACTGAGAATCGAACTTGCAACCTTCTATTAGGCCACAGCTAGCAGCTAAAATGGGTACTGCAGTCCAAATTCAAAATACTGGAGAAAGTCTTTTCTCCTGCTCCCTCCTCCTCAGACCTGACGCTCACTTGGGTTGCCAGGTTGAGGACATGCAACAGGAATGAAGCGCGAGTGACAACAGAAGGTGATGAGTCTTACACTGTAAGCTGATGTGTTAATTTATCCGCCTCTTAATATGCCTCTGGACATAGAGCTTTTTATTTCGATGCTGAGGCTTTTTGGGTCGGGTAGAATTAGCGATCTCTGACCCAGTTCATTTGCTGGCTTCCATGGCTGTGTTTTCCGCCAACTGACAACCCGGGGTTTCAAAATACTATTGGGTAAAATGGCAGTGGGCAGAATTTTTGGAGAAACATATGTGAACGTAGCATGTTTCCTTAATATCTGCCAATATATTATGGTATTTTGTGCTTTAGTACAGTCAGAAAACATACAGCACCTTTATGGTAGGTTTAAGACAAGTGGTATACAATTAAAACATACAATATTGACTTCTAAAGCCACTTTTTGTCATATTTACTTCTTCAGAAACACATCTTATAACCTCAGAGTTCATAAAAAGTCTTAAAGGGTTTATACATGCCATTTTTATGGATTGTTTTGTTTAAATTATATGCTTGCTTACAGAACCATATTGTTGATCAGCTAGACTAAATAAAATTGTAAAAGTAAAATCATTGTGCAGTGACAGATCATGTGAAGCACATCTGACTTTGAAAAATAGTACTGAACATTCTGATTGAAACGTCTGTGGGGTTGCTGAAATGCAAGTATATTTACTTCTGGGATATCATAACATCTGTATGTTTGTATGAGTTTTGCATTTTTCCAGTGATCTAGAATGTTTATTTCTCTAAGCTTGTCTTTTTAGATTATCCCTGGAGGTTTTCTGAATCCATGATGGATTCTGACATCATTAAATGGCTTTTCCTTCCTGATTTCCACACTCAGCCCAACTCCTTGTTCCTCGTCTGTGAGTTCTTCCTCAGAAATATTCAGCATTGCTTATATGTGTTGCCATTTAACATTAGAGGTTGTTCTGCTCAGCAGGAGATGTGAACATGAAACGGCGGTCAAATTTAATCAGTCCTCTTAGACTTGCAGGGTCAGACTTTTGACCGTCAGTACAGGTGCATCTCAATAAATTAGAATGTCATGGAAAAGTTCATTTATTTCAATAGGTCTGGTCCATTTCGGTCCAGGTTTTTCTGACCCACATGCAAACTGACCGACCACATTTCTATTTTTTAACGTGACATTTAGAGAGCGGGTAAATATGAAATCGATGATACCACAATAACAGACCGCAGGGAATCACAGTGTCAGTCTCTGACAGAGAAGATACAAATGTATGTCTGTCTGAAAGTATTAAATTAAGTCATTTTTTGTTAGTTTAATATTATTATGGTTTACATTTTTTGTTTTAGTTCTATTTCATTTTCAGCCATAATACAGAAAATTGCTTATAGTTAAACTATAACAATATTGTATTTATTATGGTTTCAATTTTTATTTTATTTATTTCTATTTTATTTTTGAACCATAGTACAGAAAATGTCTAAAAGTAATAAATAATGTCTTTTTCAGTTAGTTTATTAAAGGGGTCACATGATGCGATTTCAAGTTTTCTTTTCTCTTTGGAGTGTTACAAGCTGTTCATGCATAGATAAGATCCCTAAAGTTGCAAAGACTTAAGTCTCAAATCCAAAGAGATATTCTTTATAAAAGTTAAGACTTGTCCACGCCCTCCTAAAACGCCTCTTTTAAACACGCCCCCACATGTCTACGTCACGATGTGGGAAGATTTGCATAATACCACCCAAATGTTAATGCAAAGAAAGAAGGCGTAACTTTTATTCTCGCTGTAGTATTGTTGTTTCCGCCGCCGCCATGTCGTGAAGGCGCTGTGTGCTTCGTTGTGAAAGCGAAACTACTTTGTTTGGCCTTCCAAAAGAGGACGATATCCGCTTCGTCATGCCTGGAGTAGGGCTCTGCGATACTGAAGAAAAATGCGATATGCGATACCTTGTTAAAAAATGTGATATTCGATATGCAATACGATATTACTTAAAGTGTGTAAAATCAATTTAAATTATATTTAAAAATATTTAAAAATGAATATTATATAACCAATTTGTTTCACATTCTTTCTTGGAAAATAAAGAATCACTATAACTTCTGAAAGTGACCAGCAGTGTTTTAACATTACTTAAAAAGTAGTGAAATAAAAAGTGATGAAAATGTAATTTAACATCAATGTGAACATACAAACAAAAAAATTAATGACACTACTTTAATATTATTGTAACTTTGCTTTCCACACACTTTAAGTACTTCTTCATATACCACAGCAAAAACTATAGTCTGTGAAAGTTCAAACATCATTAAAGGCACGTGAACAGTCAGTAAAAAAAAAGACAAAAAAGAAATACATAATTTACAAGCATAGATAAAATATCTATGTCGTATTCAGGTACAGAAATTTAATAATCAAGTGTAAAATAACACTGCATAGTGTTCACTGTATGAGTTAAATTTAGATTAATCTTTGTTATAGCCATTTTGTTAACATTAGTGTCATATTCAGCAGCACGTATTTATAGGCGGCTGTCCCTTTAAATCTGACTGCACGGATCCAGTATAATGATACACATTCTTTCTTTCTCAGCTGTTTACATTAATTTAAAACATAACCGACTGCGTTTACGAGAATGATCGTCGAGACGTGTACTATTGACATAATTATGTGTGTGTGTGTCTGTTCAAACATAAGGAGGAGATGCGAAAGACGAATCAACTCGGTGTTCGTGTGCCGTCTGAAACGCGTCTCTCTGTGTGCGCGCGTGCGTTTTGCATGTGTGCAGCAGAACTGAAGAGATGCTGTGCGAGATGCGGCTTGTGCGCGTGCTTCAGACAGCAAGACGAGACAGCAAAGAGTTGTTTTCTTCAACTTATTAAACTTAATAACTATTTTTAACGCCAAGCAGTTCTCTGCTAAATGCGTCAAACTAAAACTTTGACCTTTTGCAATGTTTTGATTTAAGTAGCCTATTATTAAAATGATAACGATATCGCACGCCGTTGCGATATGCATATTGCGATATTTCGATATATCGTGCAGCCCTAGCCTGGAGCTGATCCGTGCTGGTCACTGAGGAAATGCTTCACGCTGTGGATCGCCAGATCGGCTTTTACCGTGGACGAAGCGGAGTCCAGCCCGGGATCGTCACATGTGGTTGCCGCAAGCCCGCCATGTGTGATGCTGTGTGTTTCGTTGTGAAAGCAAAACTACTTTGTTTGGTCTTCCAAAAGAGGACACGACTAGAAATCAGTGGTTAAGCTGTATTTACAACACTGTTCCAGAACACTTCAACCCAAATATTCAGATGTGTGCAGCACATTTTATGGAGGACTGTTTCCTGATCCTGGGAGAGTAGACTACAATGCCGGCTGTTCTGACTCACAGACTGTAAATATGTTTTCATATTTAAAGAATTTGCCACTGATGATTCAACCGCGAGTTTTAGGCAGTGTAGAGTAGGGCTTGTTGTTTGTCATTTCTCCGATCACAAATGCAGACATGGTTTTATGTTTACGCGGCACGATAAAACGTAAAAAGTACAGTATAAGTCAATCAGTAATTATGTCCCCACTGGGGCTCCTGCCGGACACGGCATCACAATATGGTAAGGGGCGTAACATTTCCGTCACACGCTTGAGGTATTCGGCCAATCACAACTTACTGGATAGCTGGCCAATCAGAGCACACCTCGCTTTTCAGA